TTCAAAATTTTTTTCAAAAAATTATTTTGCGAAAACTATAGAACCGATTTTAATGAAATTTGGTGTGTTGTTTTATTATACTCTAAAGTTTTTTTACCAAAATTAGAATGCCCTCGGAGCAATTAAAATATTTTTAAAGAATTATCCAAAAAACTTGATTATTTTGCCTTTTTCATCAATTATTGCTATTTTGCAACATCGGTAATAAATTTAAACATTTTTAACTTACAGTATATTGTGCAAAATTCAATTCTAAAACTTTTTTCCTCTTCAATATTCTTCCAAAATGCAAGGTTCCAAGATATAAGTAAAAAACTGGGATAAAATAGGTATTTTTAAAATTTTTTAAATATTTTTGCAATTTTGAAAATTTTCCGGACCTCACCCAGATCTAGGGATCTACACTTTTATTATTTGAGTTGTACTGAAGGTAATCCAGAAAAAATTTGCTTGCCTCCTCTTACATCCATCTCAAAACAGATCCGATAATTACCATATTGCTGTGATTTCATTTTGCACAAAAAACTGTCATCACTGCAATAATGTGTAAAATGTATTTTCGTATAATTCCACATTAATTCGAGTGAAATTTAATAATACTTCTTATAAATTATATGATTCATAAGTATTTTACGGATTTTAAGGATTTATAAGTGTGATTTATAAGTATTTGTAAGTATTTTATAAATATTTTTATAAGTATAAGTATTTATATTTATTCTTTTATTCTCTAGCTATGGAAACAGACAAAAGTAAACAAATTTAAACCGTCAAAGCTATTAAAACAAAAAGTCGAAAAAAGTTCAAAAGACGAGAACAGTGGATTTTGGAAACATTAACTACCTTTTAAGTGATGTATTTTTGTATTTTCTATTTGTCTGCTTTTGTCAGTGTGATACTTTTTGATAAGGCAATACTATTTTCATAAAAACAATCCTTGACCGATTCATCTGGCGCAAAGGTTTATTTTACTAATGTTTTTAAATTTTTTCACAAGCAAAGTACCAAAAACATAAAGAAAAAAAGACCTCTGCGATTTAGGTAAAAAGTAAGCCTACATTTATCTTCCTTTTATTCGTCCTTTCCTTATAAACCTGAATGATTTTTATTCAATGAAACTAAGCTTGAAGTGCATCTAATTCGTTTCGGTACACCCTGTATAAATATTTTGCGAAGGTATCACTGTACTTGACAACAATTTACTTCCACGTAATAACATACAAATTGAGTTATTTTACAATTCACTTTTTATTTACTTCAATAAAACTAATTCACTTACTCTCTGCCGTCGGGTTCAAGTTGATAGTTTTTAATTCCTCCGATCTGTAGGACGGAGGCGGCTTATAATCACTTCTGTATATCTTCTCATACTCTCCTCCAGTTACTTCGGCCACTACACATAAACTGAGAACCGCACAGAACCAACAAAAATTAGTCAGCGCCGTCATTGTGCCGCAGGTCAAGGATGGCTGCTCTCAACTTTTATTTCAAAGGTTGTTCTGATGAATGACTGTTTTGAAACAACACGCCTGCTTTTATAGCAAACATATGTAAAAATTAAGTGTGCGATGCATCGAGTGCTACGCAACATTTACAATGGACCGTGTCGGAATGGAGTATGAACCGTTGAGCATGTTTTGAGAGTGAGTAGTTTCTTATTAGAAAAATAACACAAACTGCAACTCATTTTGTGTACTTTACGCGTCGTTAAACAAAATAAACGATAAACAGGTTTAGTCATATATTGACTTAAATTTTTGCTACCTTTCCATTAGCGGTTTCGAACTGTTTACACTGCTTTTGTTTACGTCGTGATCTAAAGCCTGCTTCACAGGGAGCGATTGCTGCGAGCTGCAATTGGCATTGCACTTATTGTGCATTTTTTTAGATCGAAACAAATGTTGCTGAAATTTTGCATCACAGCCTTTGGTTATTTTTAGTGAAGTATTGTAAAATAGATGTTATTGTTGGTATTGTTACCTTTTATACATGGGTCATCACAAAGCAGTTATCTCGACAACAGCCGGGTCATTCGTCAGAAATTAAGAGGGTATATGAAACAAATAACAAAATTACTGTTCTGTCAATAAAAACAAATAAATAGGTAACTCACCGGGGGGTTACACTCCCCCTAACCTTAGGATTCAAGGTATATCCTTCAATACGTTTCCATTACATTAATTAACAACTATGTATCATTCTTTCTTCAACAACTAGCTAGTGTCACCTGAAATAAGTCGAGACTCCCCCGGACGCCAACTAGTAAGCATCCCAAATACGGGGTGTGTGAGTCACACTATTATTATTATGCCACCTACTCAACACCACCCAGTATGTGTCAATCAAAGCGCATGTAAGACCCCGTAGAACTTACAAGACACACTTTGAAGGAACCACAGCCATAAAGACCGGGAACACGTGGCATGCCCTGGGGTTTTCAAAAACATAAACGAGCATGGCATATTACTCACAAATTCACAAATCATTAACCAAATATATTCAAGCTAGCACACAGATATAATAACCGACCTTATTCGGGCGCTGGCCAGGCACCACTGTCTCAAAGAAGAGAATATATTGATTCGTATTATTACAATACATTAAAAATAACAAGTGTTACAGTATCCATGAAATAAAAAATTTGGTAAGCATTTTTGCCTATCGATGAATCACATTTATACAGTGACAAAAATTATACATTTTTTCTTATCTTCTTTTTATCTAAGCTAAAATTACAGTGTCAAAAACTGAATTTTCATACTATTAACTTTGTAAGTGGCTTTTTTTAAGACTGTTAATGAGTGTCACTTACGGCCCAAAGGTGAAAATAGAACGCGAAATGATACTTCTGCGCTGAAGGATGGAAGTTATTTTGACGAGCTGAGCGAGGCAAAATATCCATTCGAGAACACAAAAGCATTTGCGTTCGAGATGCAAACAATATCTTTTCGAAAACTGCAATAAAATAAAACAATTGTGTTATATACAACAATTCAATTTATCCTTGAACTCGTTTGAACCGTGTTTGAATCAAGACGGTTTAGACGCGGTGACTATCATAACGATAACAACCTAATAAACAATAAAACTTAGTTGTTTGAAAAAGTAGTGTCAGAATTATACAGGGTGGTCCAGATTTTAATAGACAAACTTTGGGGAAGGTACTAAACAACAAAAATTAATATCAGTTTGCTCTATGAACATACGCGCAGAAAGCCACTGTTTATGAGATACAGGGCGTTGAAATTAGCAAAAATTAAACAAATTTTTTTAAATATCTGGAAAACCACTTCATCAAATATATCCAAATTTGGTACACATTTTTTTTAAATAATTTACCTAGTTCTTTATGCATACAGTCCAAATTCAAAAACCAGTGGCGGAGAAACAAGGATATCGTTTCCCTATTTAAAGTAATAAGGTAATATGAATGTATTTTATAACGGTCTGAAACATTCCGGATGAAAAAAAATTCCTTTATTTTTGCCGTTTACAAGTTATGAAACATATTATCCAAGTAAACATCTTGCCACCTAAACTAAATTCCGATCTGATTGTACATTTTTTGGGCAATAGCCTCTTGGCCACGTAGATCACCTGATCTAAATATTTTATATTATTTTATTTAGGGGATCCTAAAAAATGACGTTTTTGCACGATCAAGCTTTTTTAATTCACTTACCATGTTTGTTTCTACGACAGTAGGATGCGCTTACTGGTTGCTAAGGCTAACAAAACGGTAAGTAATTCACTTACTAGAACGGTAAGTGAATAACTGTCAAAATAGACATTTTCAAAATCGCATTGATTTAGAATGACTTTTCTAGAATTCAGTTTTAAATGTGGGTATAATTGATATAAAAGAAAGATGTATTTTAAATCTATTTATTAATGTTGAAATTAAATGTACAGTTTGTACAATTGCTTACAGAAATTCGAGCAGTACATGTTTTTTCAATTTCTATTCTATTCTAGAACTGTCAATTTCGTCAATTAAGAAAGCCGTGACAACAATAAACATCAGTACATTTAAAAAAACCTGCTTCGCAAATTTATTCAGGAACGCCATTTTTGACGTTACATAAAAAATTAAATACGTATATATAATTTCGTTTTCATTTATTGCGATCGTGCAAAAAATAGTATGTCTCAGACAATATACTATTATGCCGTTCCTATAGCAAATAGAGACCAGCTAGTGCAAAGGCTAAATGGGGCCTGCACTAATTTGAAGCAAAATCCAGTTTTAATCAGAGCTGCTTTGAATTCTATAATCTATAATTCTATAATGCCAAAAGTGCATTGAGTTTCGAGATGGAGACTTCGAGGAATTGATTTAATTTATTTGTTTTTCATATAACTTTACTTGTTGTTCGTGTTACTTGAAAGTTGGGCTGACACGCTTGCTATGATAGTGAAAAATGTGTATCAAATTTGGATAAATTTGATGAAGCGGTTTTCCAGTTATTTAAAAAAATTGTTTTATTTTTAATAATATCAACACCCTGTATCTCATAAACGGTGTTTTTTGCCCATATGTTGATAGAACAAAGTGATATTAATTTTTGCTGTTTAGTACTTTCCCGAAGTTTGTCTATTAAAATCTGGACCATCCAAATACGTTTTATTTTTCCCTATTTCAACGTTTGGTTTACTTAGACAAAATGTCTCATAACCATTCACTTTTCGACAAAAATAAAAGACTGTTTTTTCATCCGGGATGTTTCAGACCGTTATAAAATGTATTTATATTACCAATTAATTCAGTGGCGTAGAAGTTTCACTTTAAATAAGGAAACGATATCCTTGTTTCTCCGCCACTGGTTTTTGAATTTGGACTGTGTACATACAGAACTAGGAAAAATATTTGAAAAAAAATGTGTACCAAATTTGGATAAATTTGATGAAGCGGTTTTCCAGATATTTAAAAAAAATTGTTTTATTTTCTTTAATTTCAACACCCTGTATCTCATAAACGGTGGCTTTCTGCGCCTATGTTCTTAGAGCAAAGTGATGTTAATTTTTGTTGTTTAGTACTTTTCCGAAGTTTGTCTATTAAAATCTGGATCACCCTGTATATTGTAATTCATATTCTAAAAGTGTTTAACTCAAAATGAGCTCGGAAATTGAAGACGAGCATTTACCGGAAGAAGTATTGGAAGCAGCACAAAGTGCTGCTTCGCAATTAATCCTCAAAAAATCGTCGAGACAGTACGAGATTGCCCAAAACGAACTTAAAGGGTGGTGTAGTTCGAAGAAAATTAAAAAAATGTCTGAAAAATTAGTGACATATTTCGAACATAAAATTAATAAAATTAAATTTTCGACGTTATGGTCAGTATATTCCATGTTAAAAAGTACGCTGCATGCAAAAAAATGTAAATATCAAAAAATTTCCAAAACTGATACCATATTTGAAATGCAAATCAGTTGGATACCACCCGAAAAAGTCCAGAATTCTGACGAAAGAGCAAATTGGGAGATTTTTATAAGAAGCACCTGATAATAGATTTCTGTTAGAAAAAGTAATTCAAATTAATATAAATCGATAGATTTATCTCATTTTGGTCAACTTTTCAGGTCATTTTAATACATTGGTGTTTATGGAGCTTCGAGAAGAGATGAGCTATTAAAAATAACGATCGATGATATAGAAGACAAAGTTTCAATTATTATTATAAGAATTCCCGATTCCAAAACTCATATTCCGAGTTGTTTTGTGATTTCAAATCCAGGCCAAATGAAGATATACCGCAAATAATGTGCTTTTCGTTCGGCATTTACTACAGGTGGTAGATTTTTTGTGAAGTATGTCAGGGAAAAATGTGTTGATCAAGTGGTTGGTGCCAACAAAATAAGGATTGTGCCGAAATTACCACCATTAAATGACGTGGGAGGTGCCGTTCTAGTACGGTAGCGAAGACATAATAGAACCATCTTCAGCAGTGCCTACTTGACTTGCCAATAATAAAATGTGCGCAGTAAACTTAAACAATTACAGCAGCAGCCTCATTGAACACCCAGAACTAAAAGCTACGATAACTGACAGCACTGGGTCTGGCATGATCTCACTGCAATACGTACGTTTACTAAACTTATATTTGTGCCATTATGACTAATACCAGCAAAAATTTAGCCATCTTCGATAACAAGATTTGTGAAAGGCGCTGCAGTATCTCATTATACAAGATTCCTGGAGCTATTTCGACTTCATTAGTTAGAGAATCAGACAATTTCCAGCCTCTGAGCCTTTTTAAGAATTGATTTACACATTTTACTTATCCATATCTCAAAAAAGTTGTTAACAATTTTAGATTTTTAAATTCTTTCGAGGAAATGATTATAATTTGTCCCATCATAGACGATAGAAAATTTTAGTTTTATTTTATTGTCAAGATCGACCCTTTTGTTGAAAATAAACAGTATACCTTCTTCAACAAACATTTCTCGTCGAGCGCATAGTTTAAATATTTGTTAATGTCTATTCATGAAAACATTTTTGAAGCTTTTGGTTTGTATTCATCGTTATTTCCTCTTCAAAGCAGTGCAACTTAATATAAAAAAACAAACATTTTTAACTGTCCTCCTGAATCATGTCAACCCACATTTTTGTTGTAAATGGACGTATGTAAAA